CCCAAATTATTGAGAAATAATGATGTCAGTTTGAGGACTAAGGTGCGTCTGATTCAGGCCATGGTCTTTCCAATTACTAGCTATGCATCCAAGACTGGGACAATGAATAACGATGACAGAAATGAATTGATGCCTTTGAGCTGTGGTACAAGAGAGCACTGAACATTCTATGGACGGCCAAGAAAATGAACAAATATGTCTCGAAAAGAGTGCAGCTGGAGTGTTCTTTGGAGGCAAAAATGATGAGACTTTGCCTCATTTACTTTGGACATATTACTAGGAGGTGCTATTCCTTCAAGAGGGACATGATGTGGGGAAGAGTGGAAGGTCGGTGAAGGAGAGGAAGACCCTCAACCAGGTGGACTGACAAGGTGACTGTCACAATGGGCTCTCGTGTGTCAGGAAGTGTGAAGATGGTACAGGACAGCACTAGGTTAAGATCTTTTATTCAAAGTGTCTCTATGAGTCGTACTTGACTTGCTGGCATCTAACAACAACAACATGGCCTTAATCAGGTGCACCTTATATACTGATCCCCAAAACCAAACCCACTGACTCTGAGTACATTCTAACTCATAGTGACCTTGTAAAAATAAACAGAACTGCCCAATATGGTTTGAAAGGTTGTAACCCTTACAGAAGCAGACTGCCATATCTTTTCCTCCAGAGGGAATGATAGGTTTAAGCAGTCAACTTTTTAATTAGGAGCCAAGCGTCTTTAACCACTATGCTACCAAAACTACTTTGTTATGGAATATCAAATCAGAATCAATCCATAACTGACCCTCCAGTGAGTTTTCAGAAGAAGTAAATCACATAAGAGGAGCCTGCCCAGTTTCTATACTTTCATTATATCATTTCATCCCAAATTATTTTACAATACCTTTCTCAATAAAATGTTTGAATGTACTAACAGAGGTGTTTGAAGTGTTCATGTATTATATAGTTGTTGTTGTGTTCTGTTGAGCCTGAAGTGACTCACAGCTGACCCTCCAGTGGGGTTTTCAGAAGGAGTGAATAACATGGGAGGAGACTGCCCTGTATTCCTCCATGAAGCAGGTGGTTTGCACTAGCAGTACAATTCCTTACTACTAAAAATCACCAGAGCTCTCTTGCATTATGGAAGTTTTTAAAATAAAAAACAAACCCACTGCCATCAAGCTGGTTCTGTTAAGAGAATTACCCTCTCACACAACAGACGGTGGATTCAAACTGCTGCCACTACATGTTGGAAACGGAACATGAAGTGTATAATGCCACTCAACACCAAACCAACTAGCACTGGAGTCAATTCTGATTCACAGTGATCCTCCACTGGGTTTCCAACCAAGAAGTGGTCTTCCACTGGGTTTCCAAGACTGTAAATCTTTACAAGAGGTAACTGTCCATCCTCCTCTTTTTAGTTACTCCTGGACCCAACCAGTAGCCATTTGGTCAGACATCTGGTATGCTATACAATGTTCTATTGATGCAGATGTGGTGATATGCCTTCAAGTCAGAATTGACTCCCCTCCAGTTGATCCTCAGTTTTCAGAGGAGTTAAACATTCGGCAAGACACTGTCTCCCACAGAGCAGCTGGTGGGTTTTAATCACATGCCGTTGAACTGGCAGTGCAACTGCTTATCACTAGGCCACCAGGGTTCTCTTATATCACCAATACTCCTTAATAAAGGGTTAGTTTCATGTTATCTGAAGAATAAAACTTTTAACACCAAACTATCTCAAATTAATTATTAAAAGACATCTCATCTTAATTATAACTGTCATTATCTCACAGAACTAAAACATACTTAAAATGCTGATTAAAACAAGCTTAGAAGCAGGAGTGGCATCCACTTCCATAATAGCTTGCCTCTGGAAACCCTACGAATCTGAAGAAATGACAAAAGTTATACAGGTACCCAGGACTTTTGTTCATAGGGTCGCTAGAAGTCACCTACGACTCGAAGACACTTAACAACAACAACAACAACATTAAGAACTGCTGATATTCTAAAGAAAACAAAGAAAGAAGAAATAAAAGCAATCCTCTGAATTTTGGTTCGGGACACTGGCTATTTGATGCCACAAATAACGTTCTCTTCTTATATTATCTGTTCTAAAATAGTACTAAGTATTTAACACTTGCTCAGTAAATATCTGATGCTTAATATGAACTTAATTCACAAAACATCTATTTTCTTTATAAGATGTAAAGTGTGGTACACCAAAAATCACCTGTGGATAGCTGTAATAAAAAATGGAAGCTGGGACAGATCAAATGATTTATTTTCTGATATACTTTGTATCTTACTTATCTATTTAAAGGAAAAGGGGGAGAAGTGTTCTAAAACACACATTAAAATTTTTATTGGTTTTTATAAAGCCAAGTACTTAATTGAAAGGAGAGGGGTGGAAGAATGGAAATTAGAAGTTTTAAACACAACACCAAGAACTCTTTATTTTATAAATAAAAGGTAAAGATAAGACCAAAATAGGGACCCAAAACAAAATAGAACTCTTCAATTATCAATAATCTGACATTGGTATATAAGTGTTATTTCTACTAGAAAAGTAGCAGAGGAAACAAAGATGATGAATGATAGTACACTGGAAATAATTTAAGTGAAAATTTTATCTAATAAAAAATATTTTAAAAATTCCACTAACTTGAAATAACTTTAAACAGTTATTTCACAAGAATTGCACAAAACAACAGATGAACACAGGCTCTTCCCATAAATATTTAAGACTGAAATACTCAAAACCCAAACTCAAGCTCACTGCTATCCAATGAGCCCTTTGGCAGGTTTCCAAAAGCTGTAAGCTGTATAGGTAGAGAGATTCCTCATTCCTCATCTTTCTCCCTCTGGTTGATTCAAAATGCCAAAGAGGCACCACCTTTGGATAAGCTACACAAGTCTCTGCCCCCAAACGGAAGAAAAATTATGGAAATGCAAAAGAAAAATAACAACTATTAATATTAATTTTTTTGAGAGTTGAAATTACACAACTTTTATTTCTATTACTTGTAACTATAGATTTCTAGCTGTAATTCAAATCATCACCAAACCCAAAACAAAATGAGACATTTCTCTTTTCTTTTTAATCAGTAACCTCAATAAAAAGAAATGTAAGATATGTGTTAAAAGTCAGCAAGAGAATCTTTAAAAATTTAAGTACTCCGTAAGAACTCTTTTTGAGTGTTCAAAACACACAGAAGATACTTGAGTATATGTCTATAAAATGTAAACAACATTTTAATTGTAGAAATTAGTAATGAATCCATCTAACATGAGCAATATTTAAAAAAAAGAAGCAAAGAATTTGGAGAGTCCTCATTAGTTAGGATCAATGCAACACCACTGCGTAGGCTGTATATAGTATAATATTGTCATAAAAAACAATTTGCGTGTAATTGGCCTTCTAGTTGAAATAGAAATATAAAATGTTAATAGTGATGCTAAAAAAAATATATTGCTGACAGCTTAAAAATTTTAAAGAATACAGTTGTTGTGAAGTGCCATCAAGTCTCTCTATGAGTCTATAAACCAATGACCTGAACCTGGCCCTATCCTGTACCATCTTTAAAATTCCTGATATGCTCAAGCCCACTGCTATAGTCATTGTGTCAACTCATCTTTTTTTTTGCACAATATTGATTTTATTCTTTTGAATTTCCCTACTTTTCTTCATCCTTTGGTGGCACTGAGTTGTGGTAAGACAAAGCATATATATTTTCAATAAAGGGGTTAACGTGTTCTTTTTAAGTATATATCATCTTGGATAGTTCATAAGCCTGTAGCTTACTTTGTTTATATGTAATAGAACAAAAAAAAATGTCATCTGCACCCTAAAATCACTATAAAGGTGAAATAAGAAAAAATTTTTTTTTAAAAAAAGTGCTTTAAAAACTAAAGTTTTAGTAAAAACTAAAAAAAAAAAAAAAAATGTAGTGCACAAAAATAACAACTACCAACACAGAGTAATGATCATACGATGCTTCTGATTTCTCTACTTTGTTTCTCATTTCTAACTAACGGGTACAAATGACCTGAAAAATAAAGTTGTATTAGAGAAGCAAAGATGATCAGTAGTCTTACAAATCATTCCAAAGCTTACGGAACAATATTTCAATAAGAAATAAAATCTATCAGCCTAATAATACATATCACAGAGCAGTAAGAAGACTATTTCTGGTACAGGAAACAAAACTCTTTTTCAGAAAATAAATGGAGAAATAAAAATATTTTACTAAAATATTATTTAGTGATGGCACAGAAAGACAAAAGAACTTTACTTTTTAATTTTTTTAAAATAAAATGTATTCATATGTGTCTCAGGTTAGATGATACAGTATTTGTATAATGATGTTTCGAAAGCCTAATAATAGATGAGTGATATTTTAACAACTAATGAAGTCCTGATTTAACTATAATTACCTGAGCTATATAATTATTTTTGACCTTTACTCTTTATTATTTTCATTTACCAACATAATTTTTTGTATTATTAATTTTATTATTATTATTATTATTATTATTGCTAATTTTAATGAACATTTACAGGGACTCTGGATTTCCATTAATTCATTGTTGTTCTTTTCTCCCTGCTCCCATCCCCCCTCCAATTCGCCCTTCTGCTTGAAAAGTAAAAGAAAAATTCTTTCATTGTTTTACAATCCCTTACCCCAGGTCCACTCCATTATGCAGCCTTTGTTCTGAACTCCTATCATGACAATAATACCTAATTGCATATCCCTTTTATACAGTTTTCTCCCTCATTTGTTTCAATGCAGTATACATTATTTATCCAATCCTTCTCAGTCCTCCCCAACCCAGATGTCAGTCCTGTTTTACAACAGTGGCACTATGCAGCATTTGTCCTTTTCATTTGCCAACATAAATTTTAAACACATTTCAATTAATTTCCATTGCATATTGCCAAACATAAACACAAACTCTTGTTTTCAGTTTCTTAACAATCTAGTAACGTTTGTATGTATCACATGTTCACTTACCTATTTCGGTCACACCCCTTACTACAAAGGAGTCTAGTTCTACTGATTTTGGTCTAAGTGGTAGATGATCAGAATCTAACTTTGGTTTTGATACTGGCTCAGTTTCAAATTTTGATGAAATGGTAGAAACTTCCCCATTCACCCTGAAATTAAAAATATACAAATATTATTTACATGAGAAATATGCTATAAAATTATTATTTAATTAAAGAATCTATAGTGTATCCCTAAAAAGTATGTCCATAAATAAATCTTTGTCTAAGACTGTTACAGTATAGTTAGAAATGTAAAAATTGCTTAAGATCTATCCATCTAATGTGAAATAATATAGGATTGTTTCACTCAGTAGGTAACAAAAAATAGAAACAAACACATTTAAAAAATATTTCCTGGGAATGCTCGTAAAAAGACAGATGTTTCAACTAAGATACCAGAAAACAATGATAAGAAAGACAGATCTTGGAATCCTGAGTTTCAAAGGAAACGATAAGGAACGGGTTTAAACACTGACTCAAGGAAGAAAATGGATTAAAGTATTAAATAAGAAAACAGATGTAGTAAATTAAAAAGGGCATGGCACAGTTTGTCCATTCTAAAGATTTTTGGGTTGCTCAGGTCAACTTGAGAGCATGAGAATGAAGTGATGTCCACACCTGCACTTGGCTGCTGAGAAGATGGACAGCAACAGACCCCTCCCCATGCACCACTGGGCAAGAGTGAAGACAAGACCTTGCTCCAAATGATCCAGTCCAGCCTGACATCAGCTGTTCTTTATGGATAGCAAATAGAGAATGGCAAAAGCAAATGCATAATGGCACACACACATTCAAACTTTATCACAACCAACGAAGACAGGCGCTGAAACACTAAGAATTCCTCAATTAAGAAGGTGCATAGTACCTTCACCTGGCTCAATCAGATATTCCAAATCAAAATAATGGAAAGACACCACGATCACAATGTCTTGGTGGCAACAGTTAACTTTAAAATACTCAAAAATCAGGGTAGGATGGCGTAACAAAGTGACTACATAGTAAACCAGAAGATATTTCAGTGGAAGAAAAGCTAGTGGAATCTACTACTAAGGACTTGAAAAAGGACAGTCTGCTATGAATTGTGCAACAAATTCAAAAAAGCAATGCAAGACTAAATAAATAAATAAATGGAAAATTAGAAGCAAACAAAACCCAGCAAATTAAAATTAAAAATATTAAGATTAAAATTTCATAAGTAGAAATAAAAAAGAGTAGAATTAGATGGAATGCACAACTAGTAACTTGGAAAAAACTCCCACCATCAATATTAATATGTTACAGCAACTAGCAAGGGGAAAAGAAAATTATTAAAATGAATACTTGGGGCATCAAAAAATAAGCATCACTCATATGATGCTGGGTGGAGCGCCCCGATTAAAACAAGCTTGGAAGGAGGAGTGGCATCCACTTTGATAATAGCTTGCCTCCGGAAACCCTATGAACCTGGTGAGAATGAGAGACACCCAAGGCTTGAGGACTCTCCTTCACAGGGTCACTATGAGTCGCCTGCGATTCGATGGCACTCAACAACAATATGGTGCTGGCAGTGAACAGAAAGGCTTAAAAAAAAGGCACAGAGGCATCTATTACAGAGTTGCAGAAAGAACACTTCCCAAATACTACAATAGAACATGGAAAAAAGGCATTCCAGAATCTGAGAGAACAGCAAACAGAAAGAAACTTTCAGAAAGGAAAAAGGCCATAAGGCAACTGCTAAAGAACTGTAAAAAACTGAAGCAGCTCAGAGAATCTCAAATAGGATTAATAAAACCGACAAACTAGTATCAGGTCTAATGAAGGAAAAGAAGAGGCCCAAGTAACAAAAAGAAATACTATGAGTCACTCCAACAACTCTGAAACCTAAAAAAAGGGACACATTTATAGAAATGCACGTCCCAACTAAACTAACATGGAGAGAGGTAGAAAATCTGACTCGATCCACCACAAAAGGAGAAACTGAACAAATCATAACAACAATCCCAACCAAAACCATCCCATATGTTTTCCAGTAAATTCTGCCCAACATTCAAAAACTTAACACCAACTCTACTCAAACTACTTTAAAATACCAATGGAATACTCCTGAACTCATGTTATAAAACAAGCATGACTATGACTGATGCCAAAGTCAGAAAAAGGCATCACTGAAAAAGAAAATATAATCAAGGATCTTAAATGAATACAAATATTCTCAACAAAATTCTCACTCAGTAAATTCAACATCACATAAAAAAAAATTCATAATGATTAAGTGGCATACATACCAGATACGCAAAGGATGATTAACATAGGAAGAACAATCAGTATGACTCATATATAAAAGATTCAAATCATCATACCAATTAAAAGAGAAAAGGTATTTATTAAAAAGCATTACCCTTTTGAACAAAACAGGAATATGAGGAAAATTCCTCAACATATAACATAAAGACAAACTCAATGGCCAATAATCTCCACAGAGAGAAAGTAAAGGCATGAATGAGAAGTTCATGGAAAACGAAGTTTCATGTAAGCATTACTATTTAATACTGCATTGGAACTCCTAGCCAAAGTAATAAGGTAAGAAAAAAAAAGGAAAAAATGGCATCCAAATGGGCCAAAAGGAAGTGAAACTATCTCTATTTACAGATTCTAGGTCTCTAAAAATAGAAAATTCTAAAAACTCAACAAGAATATTATTGGATTTCATTGCCAAATTCAATAAAGTATTAGAAACAAGATCAGTATTTAAAAAAAAAATCATCAGTCAACAGTATAACTTAGAATAAGTACCCGAAATGATACACGTGTGTGTGTGTGTGTGTGTGTGTGTGTGTGTATAAAAAATAAAAGAACAAACTCAAAATTCAATATGCAATACATAAGGATGCTATGGACAGAATATTAAATGATCCAGATGCATTAAAAGAAGATGGAAGGAGTACACAGAGTAACTGTACCAAAAGGAATTGGCTGCAAAGAGAAGAATTTCATGATGTTTCCTGTGACTTGCATGGGAGCAGCTGGTGGACTCAAACTACCTGCACAACTCCTTATCACTAAGTCCCCAGATATATAAGTGTGTGTATAAATGAATAATATACTGTTATGTGTCATCAAGTTGAAACTGACTCCTAGTTGACCTTTGAACAGGCTTTCTGAAGCAGTAAATCACATGGGAAGAGAATGCTCATCTTTCTCCCACAGAAGAGTTGACTGATCAAACTGTCAGCTGTGCTGGAAGTGGAGCATGGCTTTGTTTTGGCAGCACATTCCCTTACCACTGGACCACAAGAGCTCAATTAGCTATTAAAGAGATGCAAATCAAAACACACAAGTGTCTTTAACCACTTATTCCACCAGGATACCCATCCACTCCTACCCACCCCCTTCAACATCTATCTCCCACTGTCCACCCCTTGATCTGACAGCTTATATTTGAAGCTTCCTTGGCTTCTGTGATTGCAAACACGTCAGCTGCCGATATTTTCTTATGCTTCAACTGACTGGAAGAGATCTATATTTGTTCCCATTCCAAAGAAGAGTGATCCAACAGAGTGTGGAAACTACAGAACAGTATCATTGATCTCACATCAAGCAAGATTCTACTGAAGATTATCCAAAAACGACTGGAAAAGAACATCAGCAGAGAACTGCCAGAAGTCCAGGCTGGGTTTAAAAGGGGTTGTAGTACTAGGGATACTGTAGCTAATGTTAGATCGATTTTAGCTGAAAGCAGGGAATACCAGAGGAATGTATATCTGTCTTTCATTGACTATGCAAAGACATTTGACTGTGTGGATCATAAAAACTGTGGCTGACTCTGAGAAGAATGGGAATCTCAGAACACTTGATAGTGCTAATGCGAAATCTATACTTGGACCAAGAGGCAGTCGTGAGAACAGAGCAAGGAAACATTGCATGATTCAAAACTGGGGAGGACATATGCCAGGGATGTGTCCTGTTTTCATACCTTTTCAACCCATATGCAAACCAGATTATCCGGAAGGCTGGGCTCTATGAGGAGAAATGTGGGGTCAGGATTGGTGAAAGATCTATCAACAATCTGGGTTATGCAGATGACACAACCCTGCTTGCTGAAACTGAGGAGGACCTGAAGCACTTACTGCAGAAGGTCAAGGACTGCAGCCTTCAATATTGATGGAAGGTCAAAGTCAAGAAAACAAAGATTGTCACCACTAGGCCAACTGGCAGCATCATGATAGATGGTGAAGAGACTGAGATTGTCGACAGCTTCAGTTTGCTTGGCTCTATAATCAACACTCTTGGTACCAGAAGCCAGGAAGTTAAAAGACAAATTGCACTGGGAAAGTCTGCTGTCAGAGACCACTCCAAGGTACTGAGTCAGTCTAGAGACTAAGATGCACCTGATACAGGTCATGGTCCTTGCCATTATTTGCTAAGCATCAGAGAGCTGGACAATCACTAGGGATGATAGAAGAGTTGATGCCTTTAAGCTTTGGTGCTGGAGAAGAGTATTGAATATACCATGGACTGCTAGGAGAACAAACAAGTTCATCCTGGAGAGGGTGAAGCCAGGCTGCTCCTTCGAGGCAAGGATTCTGAAGCTTTGTCTGACATACTTTGGACATGTTGCAAGGAGGGATCAGTCCTTGGAGAGGACCGTCATGCTTGGGAGGGGGAGGGATGACGCAGGAGACGAAGATCCTCAATGAGACAGACTGATTCCGTCACTGGGGTAATGGGGATAAGCATGTCAGAGTCAGTGAGATTGGCAAGGGATAGCGGAGGGTTTAGGGCTATTGTACATAGGGGTTGCTGTGAGTCGCAAGAGACTTGACGGCACAAAACAACACTATAAAAGGCTATCAAAGGTTTATACATAAAATCATTTTTGGATAGTAACCAAGGAGGAAGAAAGGAGTAAAAAAAGACAATATACAATAAGAGACTGAACTGTATTTAATATTCTAAAACATGCATGTGTAAGTGAATGAAAGCCCATTATAACTGGTAAATGTTCATTCAAATCACAGTAAGTGAAAAAAACTTACCTTGAGGTATATAAAGGCAATAAAGCCATTTAGTTACAAGAATAGATAAGCTCACAAGTCAATTTAAAATTGTGAAAACTTACTTGGCTACAGGAGGTGGTGGAGGAACTGGTTTTTCGGGTCGCTTTGGGAATACTAGTCCAGGAGATCGTAATAAATTATTGGCTTTGGTGGGTGGTGTAGGCTTCTTGGGTGGGACTTGCGGAGCAGCTGGCTTGGGTTTCTGTTCTAGAGCTGATTTTTCATCTGATGATTAGAAAACATTTAACAGGCTTTTAAAATATAAACAACTTAGGTTTTCTAATTAAAAAATCTCATGCCAACCTAGGAAAGTATGCAACAGATACATTAACTTCATTATTCTTCTACCTACCTACTTAACTTTCCAGCTAGCTAACTAGCTAAGTAGTTTTACTTGTTTATAATGATTAACAGATTGACAGTACGAAGGAAGATCCTAGCTGGTGCATACCATCTGCACTGGACTGCTACTATAAAGGCTGGAGGTACCAGGTAAGCTAGGCCTGATGAAATGCTTCTGTTCATTTCAAACCAAAACTCATTTTCATCATGTCAATTTCAATTAATAATGGTCCTACAGGATAGGGAAGACGTGCCCCACGGGGACTCCAGTGCTGCAGTCTTTATGAAAACAGATGGCTACATCTTTCCTCCACAGTGGCTGGTAAATTCAAACTACTAACCATTTATCTAAGAGCCAAGTGCTTTAGCCATTGCACAAGTAGGACTCCTCTCTTTAGGAAAGCAGACAAGGAAAACCTATGGAGCAGTTGTGGTCTGTAAGACATGCAGTCACCATGGTCAGAATCAACCTGACAGCAACTAACAAGGACACTAATGATGGTGGATTTTTTTCTTTTCTTTTTAATTTTAAATATATCTTGGGCATTTTTAGATCTTCTTTAGAAAAATGTCTATTTAAGTCCTTTGCCTTTTTTTAAAAAGAGCAATAAAAACAGTCACATTATTATAGTTGTAAAAATAGCATATATTTTCTTTTAGAAATCAGAAACCAAGATGAAAATGCCATTAACATCATTAACTGATTCAGTCTAATTTAGGGTAAAAAAAAAATTACACTGGTTATCTCCAGGAGAAAGAAGAAATTCTATTGCAAGTTGGAAGAGCTTTCTGTATTCTCACTAAATTCTTCTCTCTGCTACTTTTCATCCTTTTTCACATTTCATATTCAAGAACTGGAATACATTTTAAAATTTCATTAACAGGAGCAAATTCAGTATTCATTTGTTTCTTCTTAAAATTTAATCTATCAGATAGCCTGGCAATTTCATTCTCATGAATACTAATGCCATAAAAACTCAACAGGACACAGATAATTCCAACAAATAATAGAAACCTATTGCATTTTTCCCTACTAACCTTAGACTGACATAGCCATGAAGTGGCATTTTATTTTCCTTTACATTTATATTCATTTATAGTTATTTGGGCTTACGTTTATATGGTCTCTCACCCATTTACGGTCACTGAGTCAATTGTGACTCACAGTGACCCTCTAAAAGGCTTTCCAAGGCTATAAAGTGCAATGGGAGGAGATGGACAGTCCATCTGTCTTGTTCGGAATTACTGGTTGCTTCAAACCACCAGAGACACAACGCCTTTTGGTTAGCAATGAGACACCTTTTGAACTGCATCACCAGAGCTCTAACTGGGACAAATCTCTCAGTCCCAGCTTCATTACTTTGATTGTATCTTCAATACCTGGATCTCCTCTGAGCTAGGTCCCATAGGTAATTTATTCTGCTTTCCTATTCTTATACTGAGCAATGTTTCTGGATGACCTTATCTATATCCATATATTCAAAAGGTAACATTCTAAACAGTAACTTCCAAATAAGTAGTATGATACCAACTGCTAGCAAAGGTTCATCATTTAATATAAAACCGCCTGTCATGAAATTGAAATCATATACACTTCTCCCATAAACAGCCTCTCCATGTTTGCTATCTCATTTTCCAATCCTCACAACTCAACAGGCCCAGTTAGTCAATAAGATCTGCAAATGCAGAATCTCCTTCCTTATGGTTCTACCCAAATGTCTCAGGATCTAGTATAAAATGTGGCTGATTCATCCAGTTTCATTCTTTCATATGATTACAGAGTTCTGAAAATCAGCTCAATATATCACATCAGTGGCTAAAATCTTTCAAAACACACACACACACACACACGTCTTTTATTGCCTATCCTATATTCATACCCACTATGGAAGGCATAGATGAATTAAAAACATACACAGAAATAGGCAGAAACACAACACTACACACACACACACACACTGCCCTCAAAGTTACAAGTTCAAAGTGGGGAGAAAGATAGTAAGTAAAAAGATATCGAATCTATCTATTATGTGGCAGACACTAATGCACACCATCTACTTTTAGACAGGCTAGTCAGGAAAAGACTAATGTCAAAGAAAAAATTTAAGCTTCAAAATAAGAATGCCACCAAAAACTGAGAAGGTAGAATAATTGCTGAAGAGAGTAAGATTTCAGGGGATATTTTGCATTCTGATATCATCTGGGGCAAATAAAAAGTAATTTTATGACAAATAACACAGTACGAACTGCACTGTATACAGTGAACAAGACACAAGGAAAGGTGGAAAATGGGTATCAAAAAAATCAACAGGGATCAGGTATCTCAAAACCTAGTAGACTAAGTCAAAGTAAATGTCAAGAATGGTTCCTTTTGAGAAAGAAAACTCTGTAAGATGAACCTGACCCCCTGAAATAACCCTGTTGTGTGCTGTCGAGTCAGAACTGACTCATAACTGATCTAGCAAGTTTTAAGAGGTAGTTAATCACAGGGGATGAGGAGATTTCCCTTGCTCCATCCTCAGAGCAGCAGGTTGATTCAAACCAGGTCCCTTCAGGACTGCAGCACAGCTTCTTAACACTAAGCCACCTGAGCTCCCTATTAAGTTGATGTGCCATGTCACATGTATGACACACACAGACACACACATACTTTCATGCCCACAGCATAAATTCTGAAACTTTATCACTTTTTCAAGTTTTTTCTGAAGCACAGCAAAATAGAAACAAAGATTTATCTACTCTCCATCACAGAACTGAAAGGCCTTCCACGACCTAAACAAATAGTTCTCAGCTTTGTTTTCTGATTAGAATAATCTGGAGAGTTTTTAAAATAGTAATAGACCTAGTGACAAGAAGCCGTAGGGTCAACCATGGGTCAGTTCCAACTCCATGATACACAACAAGAGCTAAACAATTTTCAATTTTATTTTTTTAAAAGAAATCTTATTTAACTAGGCTAATGTGGGAGAAAAGAGACCATTTCCTCCCATTAAGATTTAGAGCCTCAGAAACCCAAAGGAGGGTCCTTCTAAGGCTGAACTGTCTCAAAGGCAACAAGTGAGTGAGTGGAAGAAGATCTGAGATATCAGTCTATTTTTAAAATACTACTAGGCATTTCTAATTCACAGCTAGAATTAAAAATTACTATACCAATACACGTTGCCAGTTTAAATTTTTCACAACTTTTCCTAGAGTACCTACAGCCATTTTCTGAATCTGCTGTGCTTTCTTTTATCATCTGCATATGCACTTTCAGAGACTTGGAATGGACTTGCCTTTTCTAATTAGCACATTCTGTTTATGTTTAAAGTCTCAGCATATTAACAATGTTTTCAGTCTTATGCACATTTACCTATTCAAATAGCACTAATAAGAATATCACTATTTACAAATATTTCTTAAATCTTTTAAAAATACCACTATTAACTACACAGTAATATATAGCTGCCTCATAAATATGTACATACTGCCTTTATACTATTTTGGGTTTAACATTTGGTTAAAAATCTATTTCATTTATGGGTAAGTAGAAATAAAACATATTGTCTGCAACTTCCTAAGCAGTAAATATTTTTAGATTAAAGCTGAAATAATATCATATTAAAATATTCTTTGTAGAACATTAGGGATAGCTATCATTTCCGTTCTGGTGGGCACACTAAATATAAAACGTAACAGGAGCCTGCCACAGCTTTTGATTGATTCACAGCATTACATACAGTGTCACAGATGCAAAGGCTTTGCATTCACTACTTCTAATAAGAGACTTTAAATAAGCCTTACACATGTGGACTTTGATTTGAATTCCAAAAGAAAATTATTCAAAAGTTTCAGAAGAATGTAACAAATCACTCAAAAATATGAATACTAAATTAAGAATAATGGTCAAGCAAAAATACTTAATGAATTATCTCAAGGACTACTACTCTGGGCAGGATGTTGAATTCTGTACCAAGGCCTCCAATTCTATCAATTTAAAATCCTACAAAAGACAAAACTTCCTTTCAAGAGTAAGAAGGCAACATATTCTTGAACAAAACAAACGTGATCCACAAACAAAGCATATCCTTTTATAGAGGTTGTGTTTAGATCCTCTATAAAGAAAATGTTTCTAAAAATGTATTTTAGGCAGAAAATATAAAATTCAAAGTAATAAAGTACAAAGCAAGGAACGTGGGCAGATCCAATCAAATACTTACTGGGAATCAACAGGACACAGAAGCTAAAATCAGGAGCATTTTTTTTATCTGACTGCCCAGAGCTGAGAAGATGATGGCAATAAAACAACGAGAAAATAATTTTGAAGACAGCTGTCATTACATGGTAGTTCAGTGAGTGAATGAATGAATGAGCCTACTGGATCTTGTGGGGGAAGGGGACCACCAATAGCCACAACCATTTTCTTTATAAGGTAAACTCTTGAATAAAAGGTAGTGAAGCATTACACATACAAGAAGGAGAGACTTTAAGAAAGGCTCCAGTAGACCTATAGTTGTAACTTTTATTTTCCTATCCTTTCTTCTTTCCCCTTCCTCTCTTCCTTCCTTGATCGTTTCTGTACAGTGACCATAAAAGGCTGAAGAAGCCCAGCAGTTTTTTACACTTTGGTAGATGGAGCATTTGAGTTTCTGTATAAGCAGTGGTACTGAATCTGCTTTGTTTTCAATTTATTCATAGAACAAATATAACCAGATGATACCCCTCCTACAAGTAGAGACTAGGAATTCACAGGATTATAATGGTAATCTGGTTTCTTAATTAGTAGAATTGGGAGCTCTGGTGACCTAGTGGTAAGGAATTGTACTGCCATCCCAAAAAAGTAGACAGTTTGAATCCTAAGACTGCTCTATAGGAGAAAGATGGATAGTCTCTCTTCCTGTGTGATTTACACTCAAAATCTACTGGTTAGTTAAATCTGAGTTGTTTCTGATTTGAGGGCATGTAATAACAATTAGAAGAATAAGGAAGTGGTTAGCATATGTTTCTTTTTGAAATTCTGTTGTCTTTAGTTCACATAGACTTTACAGATTTTACTTTTACTGGGAAGATGCCAACATATGTTAAGAATTCACTGATTGGTGCTGAGGCTAAATTCTGAGACCCTGACTAGCTTATTTCTAAGTCTTTTCGTATTAATAATTCAATCATTACACTATTTCTATCTCTTTGGAAAAGATAGGGGGCTTTTATTACATACAGTTTACCTTTCATAGAGCTAAGGATTTTGACCATTTCTTCATGTGTTTGTCTGCCATCTGAATGTCTTCTTTGGTGAAGTGTCTGTTCATATCCTGTGCCCATTTTTCAATTGGGTTATTTACCTTTATCTTGTGGTATAAATCCTAGGTTCTTGATCCACTTTGAGATGGTTTTTGTGTATGGTGTGAGGTACAGGTCTTGCTTGAGTTTTCTACAGTTGATTTTTCAATTTTGCTAACACCATTTGCTAAAAAAGCTTTTCCATATTTGATTTTGTCTCCTAGTTAAAAATCAGATGTCCCTAGGTAGACGAGCAGATTTCTGGGTTCTCAATTCTATCTGACTGATCTATATGACTGTAATTGTACGAGTAGCACACTGTCTTGATCATTAAGACAAGGCTGTGTAGTAGGATTTGAGATCAGGGAGTGAGATGCTTCCTACCTTGTTTCTCCCTTTTCAGGAGTGCTTTATTTATTCGGAGTCTTTTTCCATTCCAGATAAAAATGACAACTGCCTTTTCCATCTTGTTGAAGAATGGAATTGGTATCTGTGTTGGAACTGCATTGAACTTGTAGACTGGAGGCAAACATTTTGAAGGTTCACTTGACATACTTTGGGCTTGCTGCAAGGAGAGAGCAGTCCTTGAAAACGGACATCATGCTTGGAAGGATGGAGGCATAACCCGAGAGAAGAACAACTTGGATGAGATGGTTTGACTCAGTGACTGGCGTAATGGAAATAGGTATATAAGAGACAATGAAGTTGCCTCAAGATAAAGCAGGGCTCAGAACTGTTGTACACAAGGTCACTATGAGTTCCAAGCAACTCTATGGCATATAATAACAATAGAGTATATACTGTACAAGAATTTTTACTGTATTTCTCAGAAGTATTTCTATACGGGACATAGAACTCTAAATTCAGTCATTTCCAAACCTTAAGATTCTCTCTTTGCCAATAATTTTCTTCAAATTTATCATCATATGCCTTAATGTGGTGTCCTTTACGTTTCTTGCTCCCCTTTCTTGAATCTGTGAGTTTACGGTTTTCGACCATCATTTCTCCAAATCCTTTTTCTGTGCTATTTCTCCCTTCCTTTGGGATTCTAATTTCACCTAAGTAAGACAGCTTGGTGTAATCACTGAGGCAATGAACTCACTAATCACTTTTCCTTACTCTTGTTTTCTATTAATTTTTAATATTTTCTAATGCTATTTCATCACGTTCACTGGTAATTTATTCTGCCTCTTCTGTTTCTAATGTTCTGATAATACCACTCCGTGTCTTTTTTTGTTCTAGATACATTACTTTGTTAAGTGTTTTACATTTCTCTCATCATCACATTCCTGTTTCCTTCTACTCTGTAATGTCTTTGCCTATTATTTCCACCATGTCTATAATTTCTAAATCTGTTGTAGTGATTGCTTTTTCTCCTAGTTTTGAGTTTATATTTTCCTACTTCTTTCTAATCATGGTTATTTCTGATTAGATAATAGACTGTGAAATTAGTTGTAGTTGTTGAAATAATCTCAAACTCTGTTGCTGACGTAGTTGGCTCTGTTCCCAAGGCAGATACAGAAGAATCTTGAGTCTGTGCCTAAGAATTGAGTGTATCTGACTGTGGACTCAATCTGATGACCTGTATGAACAACATCTTTTTACTCTGGTCTAGGAGAAAATGAACTACTTGTAGGTTTCAGAAACTGTTCTTCCTACTGCTTTCCAGGAGTTATTATGAAAGCTATATGCATTTCTTTTCATGCATGTCAATCAATACTGAGCCTGATGGCAAGTCTGCATTATATCTCTGATATTTCTCTCCCCTTTATGACCATTGTTCTGAGTTACCTCCTATATGTCACAGAATTCATTCAATGTTCTAGCTGTTTATGGTGGATAGTGAAACTTAAGTGTATGTTATTCCTTCATGGTTAGGATCTGGAATAGTTAAGTAAATGGAAGAAAAAGCATCAGCTTCCACATTGTTTATAAAATCAACGAAATGATTTCAGGGAATATTAGTAGTGGTGCTAGAGAAGATTCTTGAACATATCATGACTGCTAAGAAAACAAACAGATCTGTCTTGCAAAGAATGAAATCAAGTTTCTCCCTGGAGGCCAGGATTCTGAAACTCCATCTCACATACTTTGGGCACAAAACCAGGAAGGACAGATCCTTAGAAAAGGACATCATGCTCAGAAAGGTGGAGGAACAGTGTAGGAGAGGAAGACCCTGGATAAGATGGATTAATACAGGAACTGGGGCAATGGGGGTTGGTATGTGAGAATCTGCAAGACTGGCTCAGGACAGGGAAGGGTCCCAAGCTACTGTACACACGGTTGCGATAGTTACTAGATGACTCAATGGCACATAACAACAACCACCTGTATTTTAACAAAGTCTCAATGTTTTGGTGGATAGCACTATAAGAAAATTATCATTCTATAGACAGCAAACTCAGTAATATAGTTCTTATATTTGGATCTATGAAAGATGTGGGTTTTTCTTAATTGGAGAGATGTATAACCAAATACAAAACTAATTCGAGAAAGATCTAATGGCCTGGTGTTAATACAGCTAATTCAGACATGCAGTTCAAATTTGCCAATAGCTCCTCTTGAGAATAATAGACAAATCTCTCAGTTGATTTACAGCCTCTGAAAATCCAGGGGAGGGTCCATTCTAATTCAATGTCGCATAAGGACAATAAACTGATCCAACCCAAAAATCTATTTGGTAAGACTAAAATATAAGTATATTATATGTCAAATATAAACTCTTTTCAAATTATAATGAAAACAAAAATTCTTAAATAAAAAAAGGAAAAATAAAAATCTCTGCGTTTGGAGCAAAAACATATGCTTAAGATGAAGTTCTGAAAAGGTATAACATATTTGGAGAACAAAAAAGTGTTTGCAACATTTACGAAATCAAAAAAAGAGAAAACTATACCAAAACTCAAATTTTGGAGCCAAGTCTCAAAGGGCTTGGAAGTTTTTATTTTAAACTTTGCTCTGAAAAATGGATTTGGCAACAAAGTGAATTGTAGCCAGAAAAGAGAAAAAAGTGAGGAAAGTTACTTAAAACCTACAGTAATGTTCAGGCAAAAGAAAAGGATGGGTTAAAATATAATACTGGCAGTACAAACAAGTCTTCTAAAACAGTATCTTAGTTCTTCCATGAAAATAATGTAATCTACTAGAGGAAATCCATCCCTGCAGATCTTTCTGTATACAGAGACATATTTTCCAAATTAAGAACAACAAAATGAGTCATATTTTTAGAAAAATAAGTTGATGATAAATTTAGTGAGATTAAGGAAACATGGGAAATTATTTTGGTATTTCCTAGAAATGCACTCTATGACTAAGGAAAAATTTTTTAAATTAACATCATGTTACTAATAATAATAGGTGTGGCTGTTTCATCCTTTCCTATTTTTAAATATATTCTTTAAAATAATTATTTTAATTATTTAGATTAATTATATAATTAATTTCATTTCCTTAATTATAATTAGGTTGAGATTGTTCACAGGTTTAGTTTGCTTTGCTCCACAGTCAACACTCTTGGTACCACCAGCCAGAAAATCAAAAGACATACTGCATGGGAAAGTCTGTTGTTAGGGTTCTCTCCAAAGTACTGAAGAGCAATGGTGTCACTTTGGAGACTAAGGTGAGCCTGATATAGGCCATGGTCTTTGCAATCACTTGCTATGCATCAGAGAGCTGGACAATATCTAGGTAGGATAGGAGGAAAATTGATGCCTTGGAGCTATGGTGCTAGAGAAGAGTACTGAATGTTGGACTGCTAAGAAAACAAACAGATTCACCCTGGAGAGGGTTAAACCAAGCTGCTCCTTAGAGGCAAGGATTTTGAGGCCTCATTTCACACACTTTGGACAAGCTGCAAGGAGGGACCAGTCCTTGGAGAGGGATGTCATGCTTGGAAGGGTGGAGGGACAGCACAGGAGGGGAAGACACTCTATGAGATGGATTGACTCAGTGACTGGGGTAATCAGGTAGGTATGTCAGAGACAGTGAGATTGGCACAGGATAGAGCAGGGTTTAGGGCTGTCGTACAAAGGGTCACTATGAGTTGCAAGAGACTTGAAGGCACGTAAAAACAACAATTCTTTTTAATGTCTTTAAATCTCTTTTTTTAAAAAAGAACTAAGATTAAAACAATACTACCTTATTTATCTGGAAGCAGGAGCGGCATCCACTTCCAAAATGGCTTGCCTCTGGAAACTCTATGTATGAACAGTGCTCAGGCCATTCGTTCATAGGGTTGCTATGAGTCGTCTACGACGCGACGGCATCAAACAACAACAATCACCTTATTTATACAATGGTTCAACTTTTTAATGAATACAAATTAGTATCACTTTGAATAACAATTTCATTTTCTATCAGTTTTGATAAACAACTTTCTATGAGAAAACTCAAAGCAACTCAAAGTAAATACTAAACACTTGTTAGAAGTCAACATAATTGGTTCATCACGGAGAGATATTTTTCTTTCAATGGCAATAATAAAGCAGAAAATTTCCTTCTGAGAATGAAAGGAAAAGTCTCACCTTTTTCTTCAGATTTTATTGAAAAATACTTCTTCTCTGCAGCTATCAGCTCTGGTTTTGGAGCTAAAGGGGGAAAAAATAAAGCTTATTTTTGTGTACACAGTTAAAATTTTGTTTTCCGTTTGTATCAGATGATACCATTTTTAAAAAAATATATGGCTGAAATGTTAAGTTTAAGCAGCAAATGGATTTCCTACTCAACAATCCATGCACACTGTTTCATGACACTGATTAATTCCCACGCTCTGACTGTGCTTTTCCCACTTTGGCCCAATGTCTCTCATTTCTATAGGTCTTATCCCTTCCTTTCCTCTGATTTTTATCCTTGGATAAATGCTGCCTTTTTAACCTTGTGTGGCTGATCGTTTTAAGAAGGAAGTTCCTTCCTGGTGGTAACTGATGACTTTCAGACATGTCTACTGTTTGACTAGAAGCTGAGCCCCTAGGTGATGTCAACTCTAAAATACAAGGTTGACTGAAGGCCATAGTCTTGAGTTCCACCAATCTTATCAGACCAATAATCTGTCTTCTGAATGATCTTGAGAATTGACCCAAATATTTCTCTCATTCTATCAGGGACTTTCCATTATGATTTGTTTCAGAGGAGGCAACAATGATAGTCAAGCATCATCTAGAGCTTCTATATCAGAATTTTTATGTGATTCTATTAGTCCTTTCGTACAAATGTAGTTATGTGCCATCAAGTCAGAACCAACTGACAGTCGACCCTCCAGTTATAAGAGTTTTCAGAGGCTACAAGTCATATGGGAGGAAATGTGACCATCTTTCTTGCATGAAGCAGCTGGCGGATCTGAATTGCCTGCCTTTGGGTTGGCAGCACAATTTGTTACCCACTGGGTCACCATATCTCCGTTGGACACTTATTCCAGAATGGCAAGAGAGAAAAAAATTGCACCTTAAACAGCTGCTCTAAACCTCTTCAGCCACTATTCACCAAAGGGGAATGTAGAACTTGTTTTCATAGACTAAGCCACACCAGTTGACCTTAATATTCTCTGAGACTTACGGTCTTGCATTCTCAAGACCAGTGCGTTATTCTCTCAAGATATTTGGTTATAGTTAAGAAGGTTGCCTTGTTTGCTCAACTTTATACGTCAAACTACATGCAACACATATAAATATGTATGTAGAACATATATGGTAATAGTTGTAGTCCTATATATGCGTATTTGTACATCTTGTCTGACTAACTTGATTAATAGATGATAACATATTATCAGAAAAAACAAACCAAAAAACCCAACATTATACTAGACTGTGTGAGGGATTGTGCAGGGCATAATGTCTATAAAGACAAACAATAGTATGTATAGGCGGTTAGATGCAAATAAAAAAGTGGAAGGGAATAAAAAAATGTATAATAATATACATGATACTGTAGATTGAAAACCAAGTAATTCCAGTTTTGGTCAGTATTCGATTGGATTGGAAATACTAAAAGGGAAAGGGCTGCCCTGGAGATATGCTTACTAAATTTAGAATTTGGTAGTGTTGCTAGGACTTTTTGTTGTTGTTAGGTCCTATCGTGTATGATTCATAGTGACCCCACTAACAAAAGATTTGAATCCTGTCCTATGCTATTCCATTCTCACCATCTCTGATACACACTGCTGAGGTCATTGTGACAATCCACTTGGTTAAAGGTCTTCCTCTCTCTCACCATCCTTCCACCTCCCCAAGCATAACATAACTTTCCAATGAAAGTTTCTCCTAGCAACATGCCTTAAGTATGTGAGGTGAAATTTAATCATCTTTGTCTATAAGGAGCCCAGTGTCTTCACCTTCTCCAAAGCATATCTGTTTGTTCTTTTTGGCAGTCCATGGGATTTTCAACATTCTTCTCCAACACCATAGTAAAAAGCATCAATAATTCTTCTGTCATCCTTATTGACTGTCCAATCTCAGCAGCATAGCAAATTATTGAAAAGGCCAAGCCTGAACAAAGCACATCTTAGTCCTCAAACTAACATCACCACTCCCCAATAATTTGGAGAGGTCTCTAAATGCCTGCTTTCACTGCAGTAGATCTCCTGACTCCTAGTACCATGGGTGTTGATTGTGGATCCACGTAAGATGAAGTTGTTGGCAGTTTCAATTTCTTTTCCATTTATCATGATGTTGCCTCTAAGTCCAATGGAGAAAATTTTTGTTTTCTTGACACTGAGATGCAATCCATACTGAAAGCTCTAGTCTTTCATCTTCTGCAGCAAGTGCTTCTACTCTTCACTTTCAGCAAGCAAGGTTGTGTAATCAGCTTAATGAAGGTTACTAATGAGACTTCCTCCAATCCTGATGCCACATGATTCCAGTTTATCGGATGATTTGCTCAGCACACAAACATAGTGAAAGGATATAACTCAGTCAGACATCTTTTCTAATTTTTAACCATGTAGTGTTCTTTTGCTGTTTTCAAAATAGCCTCTTGGTCTAAGTATAGATTTTGCATGAGTACAAGTAAGTGTTCTGGGACTCCCATTCTTCTCAATTTTAGTCATGATTTGTTAAGATCCACATAGTCAAATGTCTCTACATAGTCAGTAAACCACAAATAAACATTGTTCTGATACTCTTTGCTCTTAGCCAGGATCCATCTGACACCAGCAATGACATCCCTAGTGCTATGGCTGAGGAGAAAAGAGTAAGGTCCGCCCAGTCCTCTGAGGAGATATGCATTTGAATGCATTTGTAGGCCCTCCATGAACTTTTCAATGAAAAGATTCACATTTGAAAGAAAAGCTAGCAGGAAAAGAGAGAAGGAGGTTAGGGGGGAGACTTTGACTTTTTAAAACTGGAAAAGCTACTTGGCTTACTTTATTTTGAATAAAATTTTATTGTAATTATGATTTTAACGAACTTCACAGAGAAGTCAGATTTTCATACGTTCTTTGTTGCACATTTTTTTAAAATTAGATTTTTTTAAAGTTAGATTTTCATTCATTCATTTTTGCACAAGTACATACACACCCCGCCCCCTGCCCGCCCCAGCACTCTCTGCAAAGATGTATCTCCTATTCTAGACTGTTTGGTTTCTGAGACAGGATAAAGTTGGTGTCTATTGGAGCCCACTTCCTGGACTGGAAGTTAAAGGGAGCTTGTGAGTACATACATGCATATTTACCTGGATCCAGTGGAGTGAAGTAAGAGAAATACAACAATGAAGAAACAGGCTGAACTTGGACATGTTTCTTCAGCCCTGTCTATCTAACATGTACAGTCAAATGGATAATAATTAAAAAAATTTTAAAAAAAAAAAGATTGTTTTAGGAGTTGGAAGTCATGGGCACCTATGGATTACTGACTTGGCCCCATGTGGGGCCAAAGGCTAAATAAATGAAAGGACCAACAGGTCTGGAATGCAGGGAAAAGTGTGGACTCCTGAGTTTGGGACTGATGCCCATTTAAAACTAGTTACAGATAGCAGGGGATGAGTTGCCCAGAACCCAATCAGATGAAGAGAAAATGATCCACGCTGTGAGATAGTGTTGATTGCTCTGACCTGATGGCTTGCTCTGGACTAGTCTTTGCCTTTGGAAGCAGATGCTCAAAGTATCCAAATTTAACAGAAGACCCTTCAGCAAAAGGGATACATTAGTTCCCTAAGAGTACTGGTTTGATAAGCAATGGGCAAATCAGAAAATAGCTATCTAAAATGGAAATATTAAGGCAAGAAAAATGAAGTAACTGGCTTACACTCTTTCACAAATGTAGTTATTAATAAGATTAGTAAAGAGGAAAAATCCACAATATAAATGAATGTAATACAATGTAAACAAAAACTTGTATAATACACAAAGTACATGCATGAAATAGAATGTATATGAATGTAGGCAAACCAATTTTTTTAAAAAAGCATTGTACTATAATCACTAACCATTATTTAAGTCTAGCTATGTCACCAAGTTGTGCCAAGAAATCTGGAGAACAACTACTTGGCCAACTGATTGGAAGAGATCCATATTCATTCCCATTCAAAAAAAAGGTGATTCAGGAGCTCTGGTGGCGTACTGCCAAGAAGCTGCACTGTAATCCCAGAGGTGCACAGTTCGAATCCAACAGCTTCTCTGCTGGAAAAGGAGGGACAATCTCCTACTGTACCAGGCAGATCCAATCTGACATTACACACACACACACACACACACACACACGAAAATAAAAAGGTAACCCGAAAGAGTGTGGAAATTATAGTACAATATCACTAATACCACACACTAGCAAAATCCTGAATATTATCCAGAAAAGACTTGAACAGTACATTTACAGAGAACTACCAGAAATACAGGGCAGGTTTAGAAGAGGTCCTGGCACTAGGGACATTTTTGCCTATGTCAGATGGATCTTGACAGAAAGAGAAAACCAGAAGAATGTCTATCTGTGTTTCAATGACTTTGCAAAGATATTTTTATGAATCACAATTAATTGTGGCTAACCTTGAGAAAAATGGGAATCTGAACTCCTGATCATGCTTATACAAAACCTATACTTGGACAAGAAGCAGTCCTCAGAACAGAGCAAGGAAACACTGCATGGTTCAAAAACAGAAAAGGAGTGCAAAAGGGATGCATCCTGTCCCCATACCTTTTCAATCTGTATGCAGAGCAGATCATTTGGGAAGCAGGGCTTTATGAGGAGGACTGTGGCATCAAGACTGGAGGAAGAATCATTAAGAACCTACGGCAATGAATAACTAGAAACCCTAAGTCTCTGTAAACTTTCATTAAAATTAATAATAATAAAAAAATCTACAGTATGCAGACGACACAATCCTCCTTGCTGAAACTGAAGAAGACCTGAAGCACTTGCTACAAAAGGTCAAAGACTGTAGTCTTCAATATGGATTGAAGCTCAACATTAAGAAGACAAAGATTCTCATCTCAGGGCCAATTGGCAGCATCATAATAGATGGAGAAGAGACTGAAGTTCTCAGCAATTACAGCTTGCTCAGAGCCATAGTCAACACAACACCGGCAGTTAGGAAATCAAAAGACGAACTGCACTGGGAAAATCTGCTGTCATGGACCTCTCCAGAGTGCTGAAGATCAATGATATCAGCCTAGATACAAAAGTGTGCCTAATCCAGGTCTTGGTTTTCTCAATTACTTGTTATGCTTCAGAAAGTTGGACAATAACTAAGGATGACAGAAGAAGAAAAGATGTCTTCAAGTTGTGGTGCTAGAGTTGTCTTGGAGAGGGTGAAGTCAAGTCTCTACTTGGAGGCTAAGATTTTGAAGCAGCATCTCACTTATTTTGGCTACATGGCCTGGAGAGATTGGTCCTTGGGGAAGGACATCATGCTCAGAAGGGTGGACGAACAGAGTAGGAGAGTGAGATCCTAGATGAGATGGATTGATGAAGTAACTGAAGCGATGAGCGTTAGTGTGTCAGAATTAGTGAGACTGGCTCAGGACAGGAAAGGGTTCGGAGCTGCTGTACATACGGTCGCTATACATCGCAGGTGACTCAACCACTAACATTTTATGACAGGTTTGTATTATGCTAAAAATCAAAATGGAAGTTGAAGCTCAACTCAAAAATCCTCTATCAGGACATTTTCTGAAACCAGAACTCAGAAAATCCTATGTCAGGACATTCCCTAAAACCAGAAGTTAGCAAACCCCGTGTCAGGACATTTTTCTAACACCAGAACTCAGAAATTCTATGTTAGGACATTCCCCAGAACCAGTTTCCCAAGACCAGAAACTTTACTCACCAATAAGCCACTGCAACAACCCCATATAAACGCCCTGAGCCCAACACCCAATGCTACCCCCTTGCTTAGTAGCCCGGCACTTAATATACTAGGAAATGTTTCTACCTCAATGTGGTTCTTGGCTTTGATCAGAAACCTTTCAGTTTGGAAGCAGGGGTTGCATCCACTTCCTAAACAAGTTGACTCTGGAACTCTATGAACTTTGATAAATGTCAATAGTAGTAGAGGGGCTTCAGGCCTTTATTCATAGGGCTGCTACGAGTCGTGCTCATCTTGAAGGCAATCAACAACAACAACAACATGGCACTACCTACCTATAGCTCTGAGTAACTAAAAAGTCTGACAACAGCCCAATTCTTTGTCATATCCTCTTTAAATTTTTTACAGCAGCAATATCTAGTACAATTTTCTATGAGGACAGAAATGTTCTAATCCTGTACTGTCTAATGCTTAAATTTGAATAATTCGTAAAGTGCTTTATGAAATTAAGGGGCTTTTTACTCTTTTGTTACTTTTTCATCAATTTTAAGAGACTCATAGTTACTGAGTATCATACTGGACAATATGGCTTTATAATAAAGCTCTAAACCAAACTCCTCAAAAATTCATTTTAATTTTGCTTTTCCTACTTAAGAATATATCAGCAAATGCAAAGCAGAAACCATGAGGAAGACAAACTTGAATTTTTCTACAGAATAAAAAAAAATATTTCAGGGGTATAAAAATGCATTTACTTGTGAAAATCAGACATTTGGGGATAGAACTTCCATGAAGAATAGACTGATAAAACTTAAACTCTGGAAGACACTGTTATAGGTGTATTCAAATCTAAACTATTAAAAAAAAGTCTTGTAGTTTATTGAATCCTAATACATCTAAAGGAAGAATAAATAATATTTTACTGAAACACTAACAGATGTGATCAAAAAGAAAGAGTAACAAAATGATAGACTGATATATTAAGTAAAATATGCCAATATATATGTAATTATGCTATTTCTTATATATGTCAATACAATACTAAAACAAGTTTAGATTTTAGATCCATCTTATCAATTCAAAACGATGTGTTGTTTTGTGTACTGCCAGTGTGACATCCGATTCATAGCTGACCCTCTAGCAGGTTTTCAGCGGTAGTAAATCACACCAGGGGAGATTGTCCACCATCAGTCTCTTGAAGAGCACCTAATAGATTTGAACCATGTGCTTTTGGAATAACAGTACAGGTAGGCCTTAATTATGTACGAGGAAATGATGTTCTTGTTGATTTCCATTGAGCTGAGCACACCTCATAGCCACCTATGAACAAAAGACCTGAAGCCTTTGTGTAACTTATACCATCGTTTACCAAAGTTAATAAAGTTTCCAAACATGTGTTGTTTAGCAAGTGGATGCAATAATGGTATCTGGGGCAATCTGGTGGCATAGTGGTAAGGAGCTGTGCTCTCAACTCAAAGGCAAGTAGTTCAAAGAAAGGTGATCCACACAAGAAAGATGGGTAATCTCCTCGCATGTGATCTCCTGCTACTACAGTCCTACTGGAGAGCTGTGAGTTGTTCGTTCTGACTCTAAAACACATTAACAATTAATATTCAAGAATTCTATTTTATACCGTAATTGTTTTAAACAAAAAAATCACAACAATCAGTTCATAGGAACACTTAATTTTTTATACTTTGAAGAAATTTGTTATGCTTATCATACTTATGTTTTGCCAGTAAGCACTGTTTCATTAAAATGAATTCCATCATTTTAGTATTTAAAAAAGTAACCTATATTTTGTCTCTTACATACCTGGACCCTTGGCAGGAGGTGGTGGTTTCTTTGGTTTCTGTAAAATAGTAATGGTTGCAGAGTAAAATGTCATTAAAATAAATTTTTACTAATAATATAAATTATACAGTCATCCATGACTATATGCAAATATCTTAACATCTCCACAAAGCATCAAAAAGAAAAATAAAAAATCATCCCATTAGAACAAATATCTCCATCAAAACAAAAATATTTCAAAATTTAATATTAGATAAAAATAAAATCTCATTGCAAGACTCTAAAATCTCATTTGCGAGAATGACCTGTAATTTCTTAGCTAATCAAAGACTTTCTATTTTTAAGCACCATTTCAAAGGCCTTAAACGCTCAGCTGTTAACTGGAGGTTGGTAGTTTAAATCCAACTAGTGTTCCAATGGTGAAAGATGTGGCAGTATACTTCCGTAACGATTACAGCTTTGAATGTCCTCTGGGGCAGTTCTACTTTGTCTCATATGGTCATTATGAGTAAAAATTAACTTTGCAGGAAGAAAACTGGTATGACTTCATTAAGCACCATTTTACCTTTTTTCAATAGGTGCTCGGGAGAGAGAAAAAAGGAGAAATTGAAAAATTCAAATTTGAGTGCATTTTAAAAAAACAAAAAACTAGAGTAACTCATTAACGAATCTAGTCTGCACTACTAAAGAGCTCTACTTGCTCAGCATTTCTTAAGCTCAAGGAACTGAGGAATAAATTCAAACCTCGAGTTGCTATAATCACGGATGCTTTAGGAGGAATATTAAATGATACAAGAAGTATTAAAAGAAGATGAAAAGAATACACTGAGTCACTGTATCGAAAGGAATTGGAAGACACAAAGAATTTCATAAAACAACATATGAGCAAAAGCCTATGGTAATAAATGAAAACGTTCAGGCTGCTTTGAAGGAAATAGCAAAATATAAGGCCCCAAGAATAGATGGTATACCAACTGACATATTTCAACTAATAGATGCTACCCTTGACGTGCTCACCAAGTTGTGCCAAGAAATCTGGAGAAAAACCACTTGGCCAACTAACTGGAAGAGATTTATATTTGTTCCCATCCCAAAGAAAGGTGACCCAACAGAGTGTGGAAACTACAGAACAATCTCACTGATTTCACATGCAAGCAAGATTTTACTGAAGATTATCCAAAAATGACTGGAACAGCACATCAGCAGAGAACTGTCAGAAGTCCAGGCTGGATTTAGAAGGGGTCATGGTACTAGGGATATTGTAGCTTATGTTAGGTGGATCTTAGCTGAAAGCAGGGAATAGCAGAGGAATGTCTATCTGTGTTTCATTGATTATGCAAAGGCATTCGACTGTGTGGATCATAACAAACTGTGGCTGACTCTGAGAAGAATGGGAATCCCAGAACATTTAATTGTGCCAATGAGAAACCTATACTTGAACCAAGAGGCAGTCGTCAGAACAGAGCAAGGAAACACTGCATGGTTCAAAACTGGGAAGGGCATACTCCAGGGATGTGTCCTGTCTCCATACCTTTTCAACCTGTATACAGACAGAACAGATTATCCAGGAGGCTGGGCTCTATGAGGAGAAGTGTGGTGTCAGGATTGGTGGAAGATTCATCAACAATCTGCACTATGCAGATGACACAACCCTGCTTGCTGAAACTGAGAAGGACCTGAAGCACCTGCTGCAGAGGGTCAAGGACTGCAGCCTCCAATATGGATTGAGGCTCAATGTCAAAAAGACAGATTCTCACCACTGGACCAATTGGCAGCATCAGGATGGATGATGAAGAGATTGAGATTGTTCATAGCTTTAGTTTGCTTGGCTCCACAGTCAACACTCTCGGCACCAGTAGCCAGGAAATTAAAAGGTGCATTGCCATGGGAAAGTCTGCTGTTAGGGACCTCTCCAAAGTACTGAAGAACAATGGAGTCTCTCTGGAGACTAAGGTGCATCTGATACAGGCCATGGTCTTCGCAATCACTTGTTATGCATCAGAGAGTTGGACAATGACCAAGGAGGACAGAAGGAGAATTGATGCCTTTGAGCTGTGGTGCTGGACAAGAGTACTGAGAATACCATGGACTGCTAGGAAAACAGAGATTCATCCTGGAAAGGGTTAAACCGGGTGACTCCTTGGAGACAAGGATTCTGAGGCTCCATCTAACATACTTTGGACATGTTGTGAGGAGAGACTGGTCCTTGGAGAAGGACATCATGCTTGGGAGGGTGGAGGGACAGCGCAGGAGGGGAAGGCCCTCTATGAGGTGGGTTGATTCAGTGACTGGGATAGTAGTGTCAGAGACAGTGCGACTGGCACAGGACAGAGCAGAGTTTAGGGCTGTTGTACATAGGGTCGCTATGCGTCACAAGCTACTCGACAGCATCTAACAACAACGTCAGTCTAGAGACTAAGGTGTGCCCTATCCAGGCCATGGTCTTTGCAATTAATTACTTGCTATGTATCAGAGAGCTGGACTATGACTAAGGATGAGAGAAGAAGAATCAGTGTTGAGTTATGGTGCTGGAGAAGAGGACTGAACATACCACAGATCACCAAGAGAACGAACAGATCTGCCCTGGAAAGGGTGAAACCAAGGGCATATGGCCAGGAAAGACCAGTCCTTATAGAATGACCTCATGCTTAGAAGGGTGGAGGGACAGTGAAGGAGAGTAAGACTTAGGATGAGATGGATTGATATACTAAATGGAATAATGGGGGTAGGTGTGTCAGAGGTAGTGATACTGGCTCATGAGAGGGCAGGCTTCAGAGCTATCGTACACGGGCTTGCATGAGTCGCAGTACTTGATGGCACCTAACAATAACAATTTCAAAATATCCAACAGAAGAAAAATTAATTAAGGATAAAAGCAAAGCTGCTGGATGACAAGGCTGAATCAAAATTCAGCACATATATTCTACCAAAACAAAACCCCAAGAAAGCCCAAGTCTCCACAACATAACCCACAGTAATTAACTAAATGTAAAAGCTAGAGAGTCTTGCATTGGCATTAGAAAATATGGTAGTTTTTCTTGCAATATGTATCCAATATTTCTCTCTGCTTAAAAACTAAATTTGATCCCTCTAACATGAATAAGGAGCTCTACCGCTGTCGTTCACAGGGAATTACAATGCTAACCTAAAGAAGGGTGTTCAAATTCTCCAGTGGCTCCAAGGGAGGAAAAATAAACAATCTCCTCCCTTGTGATTTCACCCTCGTACTACTTTGCTGAGGGCTAGCTATGAATCAGTTCCAACTCAAAAACAATGAGTTTTTTGAAATAGGAAAAAGGAGAGATCCCATTGTAGAAAAGCAAAGGATCATTGATAAATGAGTCAATATTACTTTAAAAAGTGATATAGAAATATTAAACCTCTAAGTAGATCAGACCTCTCCTTACAAGTTTAATATTTCTATAATGTTGATTTTGACTCATAACACTCTGATAAAACGATTCTATAGAGATTTCTTGGCTTTACTACAGAAGCAGAGTGTCAGAATAATCTGCACTGAGAGACAAACCACAGAACCAAACCTTTCTTTTATGTTACTAGGAATCGTGTAACTGTGGAAGATATAAATTTGGAACTTTGTCCTAAAAATTATTCTATAAAAATGAAAAATAAATTTTAAAAAGCCCCTAAAATAACCCTGGTTCTTAAAAAGAGGAAACTTTAATTCTTTACGGAATTGACATTATTCGCAAACACTTACTGGAAATTCCTTATCTTGTTCATTTATCACAACAGCAAAATTGTCTGGAAACACTCCTTCTTTACCTTTAAGTTCACCCTTCCACCAGCCAGGTTCTCCAGTCTCCTAAAAAATAAAACAAAGAATAATTAAAACAACAGAAATTAACTTTAAATGGAGAAAATTACTACAAAAATAGCAAAAAAAAGGACTTTCATTATTTTATAAAAACAAAGAAAAAAATCACTTACAGGTTAAGCAAAATGGTCTACACATATATTATTTCAAGGAAAAAGTACAAAATTTCATTTTTTAAAAAATAACTCAAATAATTTTAATTTAGTCTTCAAAGTTTAAAGAGTCTCAACAGGTACGTGGGGAATCCGATGGAAGGGACAGCAGGGGAGCACAGGAGTTGGGGACAAAAGTAAATAGAACGGAAAGAAGAGAAGAGAGAGAGAAGGTGCGGACAAAGAAAGGAAGGCAGGCAGGAAAGAAATTATTTCCAAATGTAGCTGATTTAATACTTTAATATTTTATATGCAAAAAAATCAGTACTATACAATTGCTTTACAAGGAAATAAAATCATCTTTAATTCCATTCTAATTCATACTCTTGCATGAAAAATTTGGTGACAGCACTTCAAAGTGAGTGAATTTTTAAAAATCTATGACATAAAAAAATTATATGACCTATAAGAGCTGCAAAATGGATGGACAGTATGTGTATCTATGTTCACTGCATTATTCATAGGAGCAAATATAAATAAGTTTAGTGTCCATAAAAAAACAAATGGCAAAGCTAGAATACAATCACACAATAGAGGACTAAAGAACCCTAAAAAAACAATGAAAAACTTGAATGGAGATCCAAAGTCTCTGTAAATTTTCATTGAGATTAATAATAAATTTTTAAAAAAATGGTACAACCACAAAAAAAAAAATGAAAAATTTGTGAAATACTGCATTGCACGGTAGACTATAGAGGAAATCATATTGAATAAGATAAATTACTCAGAAAAGTATAAAAGTAAGACCACTCTTAAAATCATTCATATAAGGCCACTATTGCAAAAAAACCAACAAAACAACAACAAAGAAGAACTCACCTCAAAGAAAAATTTACTTACAGTAAGAATAGGGACATATTAGGAGAGGTAAAAGAAAGAGCAATATATAATAATTAGGAATGATCAGCACAGTATCACTAAAGAAAGGGAAAACAGAGAAGAGGTATAAAAAAATTTAGGAAAATCAGAATTAGAGCGAAGAGGAGGCTAAAATGTAATTATATGTTTAGTACTAAAATTAACACTACAGAATAAAATATACACGAATGATAAATGAAAAATTTGCTTTTTAAAATTTCACTCAAAACACAGCCAAAAAAATCAGAAAAATAAGTTTTTAAACAAAATTCTATACCCTAAATAATCTTATAACATGAAAAATGTTTAAAAAATTGCCTTCAACCAAAACAAGATAAAGGTAAAAAGCCCAATTGAAAAATGGGCACAGGATACATATAAATACATGAATAAGTGCTCAAAATCTCTAGCTCTAAGAGAGATGCATATCAAAACACTATGAGATATAATCTCACACCATTAAGATTAGCAAAATTCAAAAGAATAGCAAACAACAAATACTGGCGAGGTTGTGGAGAAACTGGTACCCTTTATGCACTGTTGGTGGGAGTATAAAACTGTGCAACCATTATGGAAAGCTGTATGGTGCTTTCTCAGAAATTTGCAAATAGAAATATCATTTGACCCAGCAATTCCACTACTCGGAATATACCCTAAAGAAACCATAACTGCCACTCAAGCATATACATATGCACACCCATGTTTACTGCTGTTTAGCTCACAAAAGCAAAGAGTTGGAAACAACCCAAGTGCCCATCAATAAACAAATGGATAGAGAAGCTGTGGTATATTCACACAATGGAATACTATGCTTCACTGAAAATCAAGGAACTCGTGAAATATTATACAAAATGGGTGACTCTGGAGGACATTATGCTGAATGAAATCTCTCAGTCACAAAAGGACAAATAAGCATAGTGCCACTGTTGTAAAACAGGACAGACATCGGGGTTGGGGACAATTTAGGAAAAGTGGGAATAAATAATGTATACTGTATTTAAACAATAGAGGGAGAGAACTGTTTAAAACGGATATACTGTTTAAAGGGATATAAATAAGGTATTACTGTCATGACAGGAGTTCTGAATGAAGGATGCATAGTGGAGTGGACCTGGGGAGAGGGACTGTATACAACAATGAAAGAATTTTTCTTTTACTTTTCAAAGTGAAGAGTGAAGTGGAGGGAGTGGGGAGGGGACAGGGAGTAAAGTGCAACAATGAATGAACGGATATTTAAAAAATTTTCTTCAAAATTACAGCAAAATCAAAACATTTATATATTAAGATTCTGGGGAGCTCTGGTGGCCTAGTGGCAAGGAGCTGCAACGACAATCCCAGAGGCGCACAGTTCAAATCCACCAGATGCTCTGCCGGGGAAGAAGGGACAATCTTCTCCTGTATCAGTCAGATCTGATTTGATGGTACACGGACACAAAATTAAAAAAATATAAAAAATTCTATCTAACGTTCCCTCCATCAACTCATATCACTAAGCTTGTTTGGTTTTAGAATTAATTCTAAATGAATCTACCATACTCTTTAAAATAGCTTCACTATTTTCATAATATTAAAAAAGCCATAAACATTTACATACTGATCAATGTTTTTACCTTGTTCTACTTTTCCCCTTCTTTTCCTTTTATTAATATTAATAAGCCTCCAAAGAGATGGGGAAAATAAAGAGAATAGGAATGGCATGTAAAGTGAACAGAAACCTGTGTAAGGGGACAAGACAAACAGGAGTAGGATAGAAACAAGAACTCCTTGTACATTGTTGTTGTTTTGTACCATCGAGTCACTGGCAACACAGTGAGACCCTATGTATAGCAACTCTAAACCATTCTCTATCCTGAGCTAATATTTCTGTCTCTGACACACCTAGTCCTATTACACCAGTCAATCCATCTCACTGAGGGTCTTTCTTTCTTGTGCTGTCCCTCTACTCTCCCAAGCATGATATCTCTTTCAAGACTGCTTGCTCCTTACAACATATCCAAAGTATGTCAGACAAAACCTCAGAATTCTTGCATCCAAGGAGCAGCCTGGTTTAATCCTCTCCAGGAAAAACCTGTTTATTCTCCTGTCAGTTCATAGTATATTCAATATTCTTCACCAGCATCGCAACTCAAAGCATCAATTCTCTTTCTACATCTCTAGTCACTGTCCAGCTTTCTGATGCATAGCATGTAACTTCAAAGATCACACACTACATCAGGTGCATCTAAGTCTCCAGACTGACATCACTGCTCTTTAATATGCTAGAGAGGTCCCTGACAGCCTACTTTGCCAATGAAATTTGTCTTTTGATTTCCTGGAGGCTGGTACCAAGAGTGATGATTGTGGAACCAGGCAAACTAAAGCTGTTAACAATCTCAATCACTTCACCGTCTATAATGCTGCCAATTGGAGTAATGGCAAGAATCTTTCTTTTCTTGATTTTGAGTTTCAATCTATATTGAAGTCTGCAATCCTTGACCTTCTGCAGCAAATGCTTCAGGTCCTCCTCAGTTTCAGCAAGTAAGGTTGTGTCATCTACATAACGCAGGTTATTGAGGAATCTTCTTACAATCCTGATGCGACATTCCTCTTCAATGAGCCCAGCCTCCCAGATGATCTATTCTGCATATCGATTGAAAAGATACGGAGATAGGATACACCCTGGTGTACATTGTTCCTGATTTTGAGTCATATGCTGTTTCCCTGCTCTGTTCTGATGACTGCCTTCTGGTCCACATAAGCACAAATCAAGTGCTCTGGGATTCCCATTCTACAGAACAACAGTAAAAATTTACTCAGGAGAAAATTTTGTGGAAACTTCCCAGATGTCATGTCCTCAGGACATAGAAACTCAGAGAGAGAAAGGGGATAAAAAAAAGTCTCAATTCCCTAAAACTTATGTTTCAGGATATGATAAGAATTCACAAAAATATTCTTATGATCCAAGAGAGGAAGGAGGGATTAGAGGAATGAAGATGGGGTTAATTATAGGGTTGTACAATTTAATAAGTAGAGGGAGGGATGGGTAAAGGACATGGGAAAGATTCAGTGTGAAAAATAATAAACTTTGTGAGTAAACCAGTATAAAATTTAAACTATTCTTATGAATAAAGTATTAAAACCTGAATCCATTTTCCTTACCTTACTTATCAAAAGGATTATCTCCCCTTCTTTAAAACTAAGTTCGTCTTCATTAGTTCCATCATAGGCAAATAATGTTTTGCAGTACTCCTTAACTAAAATAAAGAATGCAAATAATATAACTGATTCATTAAATAAATACTTACTATACCTCTTCTAAGTAATATGCACTAGCAAATACTTAAGAATTTACAATCTTAAATTTTAGTATTTCAGCCAATAACAAATAAAATAATAATTGAATTAATCATTCATTAAAATGTTTATTATATGTACTGTGTTCCAGGCATAACTGCAACCACAGAGGGATCTATCAGTGAATAGAAAATACCAAAATCATCTTCATGGTGTAGCAGGTAGAATTACTATTATCAAACAGAACAAGGTAACAAATACCTTCAACAAATTTATTCATAAATTTGAGGATACACCTATATTCCAAATGAGAAAATTTTATGTAAAAACATACCTTTAATTTTACCTTCAGTGTCAGTTTTTGTTAACTCCACACTCTGCATTTTGGAGCCCATTGACTGTATGAGTAAGGGCTAGAATAGAAAAAAACCATATCAACTATTTGAGTAAAGAGGATGTTGTTGTTGTTAGGTGTTATAAGTCACCTAAAACTCAAAGCAACCCTATGAACAGCACATCTGAACCTTGCCCTATACATCATCCTAATGATATGTTGGAGACTACTGAATTGATGCCTTTGAGCTGTGGTGCTAAAGAGAAGTATTGACTATAACATGGTCTGTCAGGAGAGCAAAACAGGTTTGTCCTAGAGAGGGTGAAAGCAGGCTATTCCTTGGAGGCAAGGATTCTGAAGTTTCATTTGACATACTCTGGGCATGTTGCAAGGGAAGGACGAGTCCTTGGAGAGGGGCATCATGTTTGGGAGGGTGGAGGGACAGAACGAGAGGAAGACGCTCGATGAAATGGGCTGACTTAGTGACTGGGGTAGTAGAAGTAGGTTTGTCAGAGACAATAAGGTTGGCTCAAGAACTATCCTGAGGCTCGGAGCTGTTGTACAAAGGAGTCGCTGTTGAGTTGCCGGTGACTTGAAGGCACATAACAACAAAAACAACAAAACTTCTTGCCTTCAAGTCAGAAATGATTCACAGTTGACTCTCATTGGGTTTATGAGGCTGTAAATCACACAGAAGATTTCCCACTCTCTCCCAAGGAGTAACCAATGATTCTGAATCACCAGTGAGGTGGAGCCTTTGGGTTAGCAGTGGAACTCCATGCAGACAATGTCACTAAAACTTCCTATGTAAACTACAGACCGTAGATACTTTTTACATAAAGCAAAACCTTAAAGGTTTACTTTAAACTCAGTCAATATTAAACCTTTTATATATACACTTTTATTCTTATATAATGCAAGTGGAATGCTAATGAAAAATACAATTCTTCTTTTCCGAGAGAAAAATTAGTAAAAATTTTGACATTTTATTTCATTTGAGTGCAAGTTTACAGAGGAAATGGTTTTTCTATTTAATAACTCATATACACTATATTTTGTTGTATTGATTATACTATTAACTGCACTCTGCCTATTTTCCTACTGTAAATGTACTATAAATTTCAAACCTAATAAAAGTCAATAAATGTTATCAATCCAGAAGAAAAGTATGCTTACTTCTTAACTGTGAAACTTAAAAAGACCAACTTTAGGTCATCTTCAAACTATAGATACATATAAACAGACAGATAACATATGCTGGCTTAAAAGAGCAAAAAAAAGATATTTACATCTATATTTATAATGTGATTAACAAGTGTTAAAATTTCCAAAAAGTCCCAGGGAAAAAAAGCACTCAGATATTTTAAGATCTAAAAAGAAACATTTTGAAACAGTAAATTTGAGAAGAAAACCAAGTCACCTGACAATTGCTTTCACAAAGTATTAAGCATCTTAAAAAAGGAAATGTCACTGTTTCATTCTTTCATATTTCTAAAATATGCTTAAGAATCAATAAAATAAAGCCATCTAAGTAAAATTCATTTTAATACCTTTTCAGTTTTTTTCTCTTCTATTTCATTACTTGATGTTCTTGTCCTGAGTTTCACAGAGCCTTCTTTAAAAATATCTCCAAATCCAATTCCTCGAATTTTCTTTGGCTGTGCGATTGGTCCAGTTGCTGTTTCGGTCCCATTACCCTGAGAGGGTAAGGGTGAGGTAGGCCCGGTTAAAATAGTTTCTGAAAAATAGTTCGTTTTTGAAGAATGACATACAGAATTACAAAAATCTTAACAAATTCTTCCCCAAAAAGCTAATTCTTTAGCTCATACTTAAAAATTCATAATAAAAAGAATTACTTCAATAGTCAAATATAAAAAAACCCAAAGATTAAGAATAATAATTTTCTATTGATTGGTTATTGTCTAACGCATTAACAATAAATTAGTAAGAAATGAAAAAGATCTTCTACTACAAAGTCCTTTACAAGAAAACATCAAAATTTACAACTCTTTGACTAAGAAAACAGTTCAAGCACTAAAGAAATAATACCTAGTAACTATTTTTAAAGTAATATGATACATACCACTAGCAAATATTCTGATCAAAGCCACAATTGACAAATCCTGATAGAATGGAGGAAAAGTTTAGGAAAAAACCCTCTAATTCCAAAAAGTCTTGGGTTACTAAATCAGATGATACCACAAGACTTGCCAAGATTGTTACCCTGAGATACTTTTCAAAATAAACTGGTTCATAATCTAATGTGTACCAAACATGATCAATGAGTCCCTTCTTAAAAATTCATACTTAAGAGCCCAAAGCTTAAAAATTACTCTCAGGATAAAACGAGAAAGTAAAAGGACATTAGAGTTACAGTCATGAAAATGCTACACTGGAAACTAAGCAATGACACATTGTGAAAAATGTAAACAGTATGACTATAATACAGGTAGAAATTATTAAATGGAAACCTCATATGCATTGTAAACTTTCACTTTGTTGTTGTTAGGTGCCATCACATCAAGTATGACTCACAGTGACCCTATGTCATAGAACCCTGTTCTATCCCGAACCATCCTCACATTTCCTGACACACAAGTGCCCACTGCAGCCATCATCTTGTCAATCCACCTGGTTGAGGTTCTTTCTCTCCTTTGTCAACCTTCTACCCTTCCCGGCATCATGTCCTTCTCCAAGAAATAACCCCTCTTAGCAATATGTCCAAAGTATGTGAGGTGAAGCCTCATAATTCTTGCTTCTAAAGAGCACTCCGGCTGCACCATCTCCAAGACATATCTGTTTTCTTGGCCGTCCAAGGGATGCTCAGCGCTTCTCCAACACAACAGCTCAAAGGCATCAATTCTTTTCCTTTCATCTTTATTCACTGTCCAGCTCTCAGATGTATATAACAAGTAATGAGAAAGACTATGACCTCAATCGGATACACATTAATCTGATCATTAAATCGTTACTCCTCAATAATTTGGAGAAGTCCCTAACTGCAGATTTTCCCAGTGTAATGTGTCTCTTTATATCATGACTGCTCACATTAACAGTGTTAATTGTAGATCCAAGCAAGATAAAGCTGTTGACAATTTCAATCTACTCTATACCCATCATGATGCTGACTATCAGTCCAGTGGTTAAGAATCTTTGTTTTCTTGACATTAAGATGTAATCTTACAGAAGGCTGCATTCCTTGATCTTCGGCAACAAGTGTTTCAAGTCCTCCTCACTTTCAGCAAGGAAGGTTGTGTCGTCTGCATAATACAGGTTATTGATCAGTCTCCAATCCTGATACCACAACTGTCTTCATAGGGTCCAGCTTCTTGGATAATTTGCTCAGCATACAGATTGAATAGGTATGAAAAGAGAATGCAATCCTGACATACTCCCTTCTCAATTTTAAACTATGCAATGTTTCCCTGCTCTGTTCGCAAACAGACTCCTGGTCCAGGTATAGGTTCCATATGAGCACAATCAAGTGCTCTGGGATTTCCGTTCTTCTCAATGTCAGCCACAACTTGTTAAGATCCAAACAGTTAAATGCCTTTGCATAGTCAATAAAGCACAAACAGACATTCTCCTCGTATTCCTTAATTTCAGCCAGGATCCATGTGACATTAGCAATGATACCCCTAAGGAGGAAGGAGAATCTATCTGTATTGAAGTTACTGGCAGAAAAAAAAATGGCCAGAAATTGATAGAATACCAATTGACTTCTTGCAATTAACACTGACTTCTTGCTATAACAGATGTAGCCTATGCCAGGAAATTTGGAAAAAAACTGGCCAATGGATTAGAAGAGCCCCAGTATTTGTTCCCATTCTCAAGAAAGGTGATCCAACTGAATGTGCGAACTATCAAACGATATCATTAACATCACATGCAAGCAGAATACGCTGAAAATCATTCAAAAACAACCAGAACAGTACATAGATAGGGAACTACCAGAAGTTCAAGCACAATTTAGAAGAGGCTTTGGCACCATGGTTATCACTGCTGATGTCAGATGGATCCTGGCTGAAAGTAAGGAACTTTCACCTTAAACTTAACAAAATATAGTATTTTTAAAATGTTACATGATTCAAATCATGTCAAAGTTAGAGAAAATTAATAAATATAAAAGTTGAGAATATGAACAAATTTTCCTTTAAAGAAATTAGCTATCTAAGGTCAGAGTTTTCATTTTAATAAGAGGATAAAGCAGTTTAAAATATTACTATAAAGCAGGAATGTAACAAGAAATATTTATTAAAGAAAATTTAACACTATAAGAGTAAGAAAGTTTTTTCCAAATTGCTGTACAGCAAGAATTCTTTTTTACAAGTGTGAGTCTATGAATATCTCATGGGAAAATTTATGAGCTACCACCTTATCTAAGATCAAGAAGTTAGGCAAACTTACGTCTGTAAAAAAGAATCCTAGCTACTTAGCAAGAATGTAGAAACTAGTTTCTAATCCATATAGTGCTAGACTATAGAAGGAAAAACGTGGCATCAAGACTGCAGGAGGACTCAACAACCAGCACTAAGTAGATGACAGAACTTGCTTGATATAAGTGTGGACAATTTGAAGCACTTGCTGCAGAAAATCAAAGACTACATCTCCTATGAAGAAAATAAAAATTTCCATTTTTAGATCAATATGTAACATCAAGATGGATTGTTGTCAACAGTTTCATTTTATTTGGATTCATAATGATCATCTTAACAGTCAAGAAATATAGATGTTAAACTGGGAAAACTTGCCATCAAGGACCTCTCCAAAGCGCTAAAGAGTAAGGATGTCAATTTAAGGATTAAGATGTGCCTGACAGTCATGGTCTTTTCTATTCCTTCTTATACATCTGAAAGTTGAATAATGATTAAGAATTATTAAAGAAAAGTCAAGTGCATTTGAACTATGATGTTGGGAAAGAGTACTAAGTATCTCAAGAAAGAACAAATCTGCCTTGGAGGAGGTGCAAATAGAGTGCAGAGACCAGGATGGAGGGATTTTGGTTCAGACACTTTCTGGGCATGTTGTCATGAGGTTCTCGTCCTTGGTAAAAGATACCATAAGTAAACAGTAGAAGATCCAAGAAAGAGAAAAAGACCCTCAACAACATGGACTGATACAATGATTTTAAGAATGGGTTCATGTATGGCAGAGATTGTGGGGATGATATAGAATAAAGTTCAGATCTGTAGTTCATAGGGTCACTATGAGGCACAGTAACTCAAGGGCTCCTAACAACAATCACCTTAATAGTACCTTTTTTAAGTGAAAAAGATTTTCCAAAATTTTCTTATTTTAAAAGGTTCCAAAAATTATACTACAAAGTTGCAGGGCCAATCATTTAAAAAAATCCAAGAAATTCTTCCCATTTAAGGTGAGGAGTACAGTAAGAAAATATACTTATCAGATCACTGATTGCCAAAAAGAACAAATCTGTCTTAGAAAAAGTATTCATACAATAATTCGCCCCACTCCCCCTATAGTATTCTTAAAAGCAAAGACAGTGAGACTTCGTCTCACATAGTCTGCACATGATGTCAGGAGGGGCCTTCCTTGACAAAGGACATCATACTGAGAAAGATCACGCTTGGACAGCCCTACAACAACAACGAGCTTACACATAGCAAATCATGTAAGGATGGTGCATAAGTGGGAAAGGACCTAGTGTGAATATGGCATGAATTTCTTGCAGTTTCTTATTGATATATCGCCCCAGTTTGGTTTTTTAATCTTTCAGCAAAATGTTGCTTATATTGTTAGATAATGCCCACTTTCCACTGCCTCACCTTTTTTTTTTGTTGTTGTTAGTTCATACTGCACCTAGCCACAGACTACACCACCAGTGATCCCTTTGCCTTTTTTTGAAATGAGAACCAATATGGATCTCTTCCAGTTAGTTAGCCAGGTAGCTATCTTCCAATTTTTTTTTGACACAAATTACTCAAGAACCTAGAGAGCTGTACTTGGTTTACTAACACATCTCAACTGGAATTCTGTCAATTCACTGAGTCTTTTATGACTTCCTTCACTACATACATTCCTAAAATTGTTGTCAACAAACTGTTTTTGGTACAATAATTCTGCATATTCCTTCCATATTTTTTTATGCTTCCTGCACCATTCAACACTCTGCTACATAATCCTTCAGCATTACAAGTTGAGGCTTGAAAGGTTTTCAATTCTTTCAGCTTGAGAAATGCCAGCCAAGTTCTAGGGGTGGGGGTGGGGGTGTGTGTTTGTGTGTGTGTGTGTGTGTGTGTGTGTGTGTGTCATTACACTTTGCTGTTTTCTCACATCCAATTTTGTATTTGCTCTCTTTCCTGTCTTTGTGCAAACTTTTGCTTTCTTCATCAATGAAATCCTAGATCATCCAAACACTCATGTGACCTTTGGTCATTAAAGTTCAATGTTTTTTTTAATTCAAGTGGGATAAACTGTAGTTCTTTCTCACAGTCTGTGTTTCATTTTCTTCAGCTGGACTTTTTCAGTTTGCTTATGAAAAACTGATGGTCTTTTCTACTACTTGTAATCAATTTGATCTCTGTGTATTTGATGATGTGAGAGTTATGTGTATAGTTGCTGTTATTCTGACTTTTTATGGTACAAAATTCTATCATGTGATCTCCAGCCTCATTTCCATCACCAAGGTCATGTCTTATTTTCCAACTACCAGTCCTCCTTGTGGTGAACCAACAGAATATAGACATTACTGAATATTACTTATATCACACGTGAGCA